GCCATTTGAACGTCGTCGTAGAGGTGCGAATTATTCTATATCTTGAAATATAAAAAGGATAAAATACTCTATTATTAATATATTCATAATACTCTATTATCAGGCGACCTTTTGTACTTGACTGTAACTACCATAGAGGGAGAAATTTTGCATATCACTTCAGCGATTAATGGATTTTTTGTTAACAAATCTACTATGAAAAATTTTGATCCAAATCCACGCTCAGATCTTAAAGTCTATCATACTCATTCACTTGTTTCCCTTCTTCAAGCAATATCTCCATCATTTCGTGTCAATTTTAAATCTTTGCAAGATTTTATTGCCTCGCATCACCCTTTTGAAACCATTCCATTTAATACATGTTTTCCAGCTTATCCTTGGGTTGTACGACAATCTAAACATACTCATGATATGGGTCGCGCAACCGAAGTATATTTAAATTTAGGTACTGATGCTGTCGATTCTCTCCGTGACTGGAACGACGAATTTCAATCTCAGCGTGAATATCCGCGAGTTGAATTAAAAGATCGCGTTTTACGCGAAAGACTCGTTAATAAAATTCATGCTGATTTTACTGAAAACGCGGTGAAGGGAGCAATTGCTGTTATAAACGGCAATGTAATTCCTTTTAACCCTCGTGACCCTGAAGAGGAGCATATGTATGTTTACAATAATATTTTTTTCAGTAAGGCATTTGATACAAGAGGTACATTTGCAAAACTCGGCGGAAATGATGCAGCACACGTGGCAACCGGCAAAGATATGGAGGGTATACGGACTGTAAATACAACAGATATTGAGGGACTATATACACTTGGTTGTGTTGTAGTAGACTATAAGGGAATCAGAATTGTCGCACAAACTATTGTTCCAGGTTTGAAAGCGTCTTTTAAACTATATCATACATAAAATTGTATTATAATATTATATTACTTTTCAAGGAATTTTCCGACGGCAAGATGATTCATCAATTGTCTATGGATACTTTGACAATGGACGAGACGAACCTAAGTTATGTTCAGATCCAGAATTTCATGAAATAGTTGGAAAAGCTGCAAAAGCTTTACATCTTGCCGAGCATAGGTATAGTGAAAGGATAAATTTTATAATGTTGTAGCTGAAAGAATTTTCTACGTATGTCCTTTTTACTCAGATGTATGGCATCAGATATATCGATATTTGATAATATTGTATGTTCAAATGCTGCCCAAAAAAAAAATTGCAAATCTCATATGTTAATTTTTACTACTTGGTGTTTGAAATCATAGATAGTTTCAGCTACAACGTGTATTTATACATGTTATTTCGATCGATACGTATATAATAATAAATAATAAATATCTAACATTGTAGTGTCTCTGATCCAAAAGGGACTACAGTCAAACTTTATACTTCTCTTGAAACCAAGGTGCTTTTTATATTTATAATAATAAAATATAATAAGTTATATTATTTCAAGAATTTAATTATATTCTTTATTTATTATAGGGCTTAATGGGAGACGATGGCCGTAGATATTTGTTTGATTTATATCGTCTTAACCCAATCGATATTGAATTTTTGGATAAAGAATGTGAAGATAAAGAAGATACTGATGGAAGTAATCTTCCTCGTTATCCTCATAAGTTGACACTTCTTAGACCAGAATTAGTAGAATCCTTTTGGGATCATAAATTGAGACTATGGCTTCAAGAAAAAACCACAGCTAAGCAAAACGTAAGTAACTTGTTAATTCTATAATTAAAATATATTTCGGCTCTAGATTTTAATTTATTTATTTATTAGGAATCGGAGGATTCTACCATAGAAGCTAACGCTTTGGATAATGAAGACTTTAATTTTGCATTAAATCCAGATGCATTCACTAATTATAAGTTGCCTGAGGAAGAAGAATATGAAGCAGTTAAGAAAATAGACGAGGAGAACGTGCGCGATGCATCTAAGTATTTGCGAGATACAGTGATCCGGATGCTAGTAAGTCTTGATGAAATTTTATATAAAATATTCTTTAAAACCTTTATTTTTAATTTTTCATGATTCAATTTATGGTGCGACTCTTTGATGAATGACCAGCCTACCATATGTGCTATCTTGTCAACCTCAGGAGCACAACTATTTATGTGCATAATTTTTGAAAATTGACCCATTTATTATCTTTTTAGATCATAGAATTTACCACGTTAGCTGTAACTCCTGTCGACGGTTCTTCACTCACAACAACAATGCATCGACGTGGTATAAATATGCGTTATTTAGGTATGATCGCAAATATTATAGATGAATCACAAGATAAAAAGTTAGACCATGTAAAAGTAGGTTAATGATAATTAATTTTTTGGCGGTTATTAATTTGTTAATTATATTTATTTATCCTTTCTTTATTTTCAGCATCTTGTTATACATGAGATGATTATAAGAGCTTCAAAACGCATTTTACGTGGTCTTCTTCGTGAACTACCATTAACATATGTTCCATATTGTATATCTCATTTTTTGAATTGTTTAATTGGTGCCGACTATAATCCTAATCCTCAATCGATGGTATCTGATACTACTATTGGCATCGATAATCCTACTTATGCCTATATAAACCTCACCCCTTCTTCGCTTTTACAACAAATTCGTGACACAATACTTATTCGATTTCGTTATAGACTATCTGATAATTTCATTAACGTGAATGTACGTAAATTACCGCTTTTAAGAGAGATCTGTTTACGAGTAGGCATACAAATTGCTTCTCAAGGATATAATTTTGTAAAAAAGAAATCCAAGAAAAGGCTTACGACTTTTTTGCCAGATGATATCTTGAATTTAATACCCACGGTAAAACAGGCAAATCCCAGGGTATGTAGTAAGAAAATATATCTAATTTATTGTGATAGTGATTAATCGAAAAATTATGTCAATATTTCAGTGTGTATTTGCTGAAGAAACTTTCGAAGCAGGGAAACTAAGTATTGCGAGAGGTACATTATTAATTTCTTATATATTTTATCTTTCAATTTATTAATCTTTTCTTTCGTTTGTTTCAGGCCATCGGGAACTTGGTGTTGATCTGATGTTGCAATCCTTAGCGTTACATGAACAGAGCTATGGATTCCTTCATCCAGCAACAGCAAAATGCTATGCAGCATTAGCTTTATATTTTTATCATCACGATGATACAGAAATTGCCATAGACTTTCAAAAAAAAGCGGTTGTTGTCTTGGAAAGGACTTGTGGTGTTGATAGTGTAGATGCAGTTCATAGTTATGTAAGATACGCAAATATATTATTATATAAGTTTATTTTTATTTATTTATTTTTTTTTTTTGGATATGAATTACAAAACTTAACTAATTTTTGCTATTATTTGGTTCTATTTCAAAGCTTCATCTTGGTCTTTTCGAAAATGCTGTTGGTAATACAGAATTAGGTCTTCGTTTTATGAGACATGCAATGTATTATTGGGAAATCATTTACGGTCCATTACATCCAGATGGAGCAACAGCTGATGTAAACAACTTTATTATTATTTAATATTACTTTAAAACTATTTTATATGATCAGATTATTTATTGAATTTACTTTAACGTTTTAGCAAAATGTTGGAATAATGTTGCAAAATATGAGAGATTTTACGGGTAGTGTTAAATTTTTCGAACGTGCCAAAGGCACAAATGAGATTATCTTTGGAAAAAACAACGTAGTTACGGGAGAATCGTAAGTTGTATTAAGTGATTATCCTTATGTATTAATTATACCAATTACTAATTATAAATATCAATAGTTATCACCTATTAGCTAAAGCTTTGGCATTCGCTGAAGATTTTAAAGCAGCATTAATTGCTGAAAAATCGGCATACAATATTTTCCACGCAGTGGTAGGAAATTTACATTGTATATTTGGATAGCTTTCATATCATAATATTTAATTATACGTTTATCTATTCACTTATCTAGTTCGGATCTGATCATCCCAAGACAAAAGAAACCGAACTTTTGTTAAAGGATCTTACTTCAAATGCCGTTCATAATGTATGTATGATAATTGAAATTTTTAAATCTTAACTTCAACATCTAATATACTAAACTTATTATAGGCCAAGATGGCTTTGCTTCAGAAACAAGACCAACAACAGCAGCAGCAACAGTCACAACAACAGCAGCCGTCGCAGCAACAACAACGCAAACCTACACCGAGAACAACTACAATTCCATTAAGAACCACACCGCATCATCTTAACGTTTCGACTCAAGTTAAAAAAAAGAAATTGTCAAAAAAGTAAATAAATATATAACTACATTCGGTTTTTTTTTAAAAAAAAAAGAATTTTAAATAAAAACAAAATTATTATTTATCATAAAAAAACTGGAAAATATTTTTTCTATTCGTTATCATTAATATATATCCTCAAAATCATATACGATGTTAGAATTAGAATTCTTAGATAAATCTATTAAATCTATTAATGTCAAATTTAAGTAAATAAAAAAAGACGATTTTTATTTGTATGCAGGGACTTATGTAGTATAATTTTTTTATTTCCAAATAATATTATTTTTATACATTCCATATAAAGTTGAAATTCTTAATGATATGAAATTGTTTCAAATTTCATTATTATAACATTAAGCTATTATTTATATAATATTATCCAATTCAATAAATTTTTAATATGTTCTAAACAAAATATAACCTGATTAATATTAGAGGAAGAATTAATGGCAACGATTATCGAAAACCCGAACCGGATCTGACCGGATCAAACCGTTTCATAGTTTCCTTTTAAATTGTTTGTTCATGATAAAACAATCTTCCATACGAAATATTTTTTTAAAATTGTGTAATATCTTGTAATGTTTGGTGTAGATTTAGAAGTATGAATAAAATATCAGATTGTTAGAAAAAATTTTTTAATTCAATATTTTTTTCATGCTTAAAATTTAGTATCATTATCAACATTTAATCTATTTGCATTCTTTGATCATACGACTTCTTGTTGTTATTTCTAATCATGGAGCCAACAAAAAAGAATCGAACTTTGTTACGTCCGCGTACAGCAAAGAAACGTGGTAATGCGATTTCCATTTCTTCTCAGTTAATATCCGATGTACCAATGATTACATCTGGGCCCGAAGCAATATTATGCATGAACAACGAAACTGCACTAGAAGAAAGTTATTTGTCCATCGGCCGTCTAGATACATCTACAAGTGAGCAAGGAAATGTCGCTAAACGTACACCAGTCAATTCAATTGAAACCGTCAAATCAAGTACACATGTAAAACGACTAAGAACTGATGACTTTCATGAAGAATCTTTCGTTGTATCTCTTCCTTCTATCGCACTTGAGAACCGGCTTGACATTGATTCAAGTTGCTATGAAAATAAATGTCAGCCCGGCCCGGTACCTCTAACAGGTGAAATTATTCCCAAAAATATTTCGTTATCAGTTACGAACCTTTCGACGGTCAATGATAGTGGAATGTCTGCATTTAAGGTGGTTGATACGATATTCGATTACAAATGGGGTCTTAGAGATTGCTCACCTGAAACCTCAAGCTCATCTTCAATTAATATACAACCACGCGAAAACTCCGCTGTTTTAAATTCAAGTGAAACACGATTACGAGTAAAAGAGTCGAGTAGAAACGTCAACAACGATGACTTTGAAAGAGAGAAAAGTATTTGCAAATCAGCCTTCGATCTTGTGCGTATGATGGAGTTAAGACGTCTTGGTTTGGAGAACCCGCCAGGGGATCTGGCAGAACATACTCGATTTCTAGAAGAGCTTATGAATATATTAAATAAATCGGATATCGATGACGATACCACTGCACAAACTTCACTTATCCTCGAAAAGTCTCCGGTGGTTAATCAAAAAGTTCCTAACGTTGAGGACCTTGAGCCGACTTTTGTTGAAGGTTCCCATTTTGCCGTTGAGTCTAATGATAGATCTCCTTCAGTTCGTGATTCGTGCTCTACTATCGAGGAATGTGATGAAGCACTCCCTGCGGAAGATCTTATTGGTGCTGTTAAAGACTTAGATGCCATTGTTACAACTATTACTTCTCCGTTACGAGAAGACAACGAAAATAGTACTACTACTCGTGACCGACCTGTATTGAAGAGAAGAAACAGAAAGTTGGATTCTTGGACAAACATTAGCGAGATACCAGGAAGCGAACAACTAGAAATGTCTTTTAAAGACAGATTAAATCCTATAGCAGCAGTAGAATACGACGAGATGGAGGTCGTAGAGCTTGATATGTATGACGACTTGCCGAATAAATTGAGGTCTGATGTGCCTAAAGAATTTTATCGTCGTTGGTCCGCTCAAGACACTGAAGAATTATATAATTGCATTGCACTTTTGGGGTTGGATTTTGGTAGAATTGCGACGGTGATGCAAAGGACGCGAAAACAGATCACGAATAAATATAAGTCCGAACAAAAGAATAATAGTCAACGTCTCCATAATGCGCTGACACGAAAAGGAGAATTTTTAGAATTTAGAAATAAGTATAAATTTTGATATAAACCGAAGAAAATTGAGAAACCATATTATCTCTTCGACAAATATCTTGTCAATCCTATAATTCATATAAAATATTATGTGACCAAATAGCTTGATACACCAGTACTTTGCAACAATTTACGATTATTTTCGTTAGCCCATTGAAAACAGCGGAAGAATATCTATTTTGAATGATAATCTTATTCAGCAAAGTATGCATACACTTTGACTTTTGTTAAGTAAACAATCATTTTTGAGACTTTTTATAACAACCGCTTATTTCATATTATTATTTCCAGAAAGTGAGTTATGTTTATAATTCAAAAAGTTCCAAGAATTATAAACCAAACTCTATAAAAAGTTGGTTGGAACTTCAAACTTCGAATCGATCACGTGAATCCGCCATATAAAGTTTCTTATGAAATTTTTTTTCCGGAAGGAATTCATTCACCATATTGAAAATGATGAAAAGCTATATTATCACTTAGTAATTGAATTTCGTATGTATGTAAAGATATCCTAAACTCCGGAAAACAAAGTTTCGGTAAGTCTATAATATATTTAATAATTCCATTAAAAACTAAAAAAAAATTAAAATTTTCACTTTCCTTTAAGTCATTTAATTGCAAAAAAGGATCCCTGTGTTTATTTTTGCGTTAGAAGTTGATATTTAAATAACATACAGTAAGTCTTTCCATAAAAGTTTTTAAATTTTTATTTAATTAAATATTATTGTGATTAAAAAATCAAGTATTATAAGCAAGTAATATATTTATTTCTGATAATGCAAATTTTTATAAATAATAACCTTAATACAGTCAACTCTCTATAAATGCATCCCCTTGGACTAGGTATAAAGGTGCATTTAAAGAGGTATGCATTTATAGTATATATATAAAATTAAGGTAATAAAAAAATTTATAAGTAATCTATATAATTTTTTTTTATAAAGAGTGCATTTACAGAGTATATATATATAAAAATGTGCATTTAACACTAATGTTTAAGTTAGTATCAGATAAAAAGATGTATTTATAAAGGGTGTGTATTTATAGAAGATGCATTTATAGAACTGTATATAAATTTAACTTTGGTAGATATTCTATTATAATACTTATTAATATTAGAATTTTCTCTTATTTTTTATCTTAATCAATAAATAAATTAGGGAATGGAGACTGTGCATATCCGGAATGTTAAGACACAATATTTTTAATTTACATGATAAAAGTAATTCATAATAGATCGGTAGTGATACAACCTTAAAAAATATATAATATTAAAACGCAAATTAAACTTCAAAACAATATAATAAGATTTATTAGACAATTTTAGTTAGTACAAAAATAAATAATAATAAAGTATAAATTAATTTATTTAAATATTTTGATTTATTATTAAAAAGACACAAAATCATCCAGATTATTATTGTTATATTAATTGTTCTTTAATTTATTAGGTTATATTAAGATAAGAATGATTTTACATATGATAGATATTAAAAAAATGCGGTTTAGATTTTTTTAATCACAGTTATATTTCTAATATAAGAATATGGATCCAAAAAATAAACGAATACAAGTTTTTGAACAAAAATCAAAACTAACATCCTTAATTTTGATAGCAAATAAATTAATCCTGTAATATAAAATGAACAAACAAAGTATTAATACTAAGACAATTAAAAAGCAAAAGAAACAACAAAACAAGATGATAGAATAACGTGAGGCACATCTCATATATGAACGAGAATGCAAATGATAGAAAAGAAGTAAGAAAACAGAAGGAGAAAGAGAAATGTGATGAATAAGTGATCAGCTTTGGAAAAAGAAAAAAATTAACAGAGATTACAAAGGAAAGTACAAATTGTAATACATGTAAAAATAATTGCAAGTATAAAGAGTAAACTCATAAACGAGTACAAAAAATAGTTGTAATAATAACTGGAAATTATGAATGGGAAACAAGCGAAAGAAGAAATGATCAGTCAAGTACAAGACGAACAACAAAAAGCATGATTGCAGATGAAAAACAAAAAACATTAAATAAATTTCATAAAAAAATGAATAAAATCAAATACAGTACCTGTCTTGTAGAGAAGTGATCTGTGAATAATAATCATACAAATATCTAAATAATATAAATATCTAGATCACATTTAAGTATTGCAGATTTGTGAAATTTATCTGCAGATTATCTGCAAATATTAATGGATATTTGCAAATTAATACCAATATATAAGTCAAAATCTGCAGATATTCATAATAATTTATTATAATTTGTATTTAAACTTTAATATTCAATAAAGCATAATACAAATAATTATAATAATTTAAATAATTATATAAAGATTTAAAGGTATATTATAAAAAAAATTGTGATTGAATATTAAGAAAAGCTTTAAAAAATTTATTGTAATTGACCAAAACACTGCATATAACATAATTTTTTAAAAGTTCTACCATAAACAGCCTGATTCTTACATAGCTATATACAATAAATTAAAATTATTACAATGACTTTTCAGATCTTAATGTTTTCTAATCCATTTTGGAAAAGAAAAGTGCAATAATTGTTAAAAATATTCATTTTTGTCAAAAAATTCTAGTATATATAGTTCCCGCCAAAAGTAATGGTGATAGAAACATCATTTTATTTTTTAACCGTAATATCTCCATTATTCCAATTCAATCCATTGCTTATTAAGCTAAATTAGGTATTGGAATGTTTATTTAAAAAACAAATAAACAAAAAACGAGTTTCAAAATATTTTTTTACTTACCTTTACCAAATACAATTGACATCTATAAAGAAAAATCACAAAGTTGTAAAGTTTCTTTAGAACAAAAATGTTTGTAATGCAAGAGAAATTTCTACTTAAACTAGAGTTCTCTTGCGTTCTTGTGAAAGATATGTTGCCTCTTTGCAAAAGAATAGTAACATTTCTGACATTTGTCAACCTGGTTGATCACAAAAATTAACTCTCAAAAAATGCTACTAAATCAGAAGGATCATCAAGTATGATCATTTCACTACAGTAGGAAAATTGAAGGTTATACTTGAAGAAAAGAATACAAATTTAGAGGTCAGTGAAACAATTATCTGGCGAGAACTTCATGATTTTGGTTATATATCAGTTCTTTCCCAGAAAGTTCCTCTATTGACTCAGAAAGTGAAAGATGATTTCTTGTCTTAGACACATAACCACTTGCATTACAACTGGAAAAAAGTAGTTTTTTCTGACGAAATTACAATTCAAATATTTTATAACATTACATGCATATGATTCAAAGATGGAAATCCTATTCAACTTATGGTTAAACATCCTTTCAAAATGCATGTTTGGGTTACAATCAATGTCAAAGGAAAGATCAATATGCATATTTTTAAAGAAAATCTTGATTGTCACTTGTATCGCAAAATTTTTAACAATCATTTCTACAATAATGCAAATAAATTATTAGATTATCGTTGAATTTTTTAGCAAGATAATAACCTAAAATATACTTCTAATAATGTTAGAAAGACTTAAAGACTCATCTTATAAATCAGATTCTTCTGTGGTTCTCTTATAGCCTAGATCTCAACCCAATTGAAAATGTTTAGGTCAATTTAAAGAAAAAAATTAAAAAAAAATTAAAAAAATAGTAGCACAAAAAAAAAATCTCAAATGATATTTTTATTAATGTAATTCATAAAAAATGGGATAATCTTGATAATTCTATTTTAATTAACTGCATCAATAGAATGTCAAATCGAATTCAAGCATGTATTGATGTAGATGAAGAATATACCAAATATTAATGACTTAATAAAACTTATAGCTATAGTTTTTATCTTTATTTTAAAAAAAATTTAACTTAGATTTGATATAAAATTGCATGTATAAGGTTAAAAAACTATCCATCATTACTTTTGGCAGAAACTGTAAATTTGGTTATAATAAATAATCATGTTGTAACGAAATTATAATAAAATAAATAATAATAAAAATATAGGTTAAAATAAATTAATAAATATATAAAAATATAAAATGTATATATAATTAGACTAGATAATATTAGATCTAATTATGAATATTCAGATATTCACAGATTTGCTGCTATTCATGTGATCTGTTGATCATTCACGAATATTTAGCTCATAATCTACGAATTATTTATTTGATTTTTAGCAGATGTATAATTATCATCCAGATCATTTTTTTAATTAACAGACAAATAATTTTATCTGCGAATAATCTGGATCATTTTACTACTATCTTATATATAATGAACATAATCTATTAATGATAATTGTATAGGACTCATGTCGATGATACTACATAAAAAAATTTTACTAAAGAAATTTTCAGCTAATAATAATATAGATCTAAGAGATGTATCTGAAGAACTCAAAGGTCTTATGGACATTAAAAAAATGCTGATATCTCAAGTTTTTATAGTAATGATAATATATAGACTTAAAGGAGAACAAAACAGATACAGGAGAAATGTCATAAACTTTTTATATAATATCTAACCATTTACAAATTATCTTCTAAGGTATCCATCTTTACTAGATATACTTGTGATATAAAAACAATCAGTAAATAATTTAACATTATTTAGAGACTTTAATGTACGTCGTAATAGAGTAAGCAGAGTATTAGTATAATTAAAACAAAATAACTGATACTACAGAGACATAACAATCGATAATTCTATTTTTAATTCACTATCTAAGAATGAAATAGTAGCCTACTTACTTTTTCAGCAAGAAGAACAAATTGATGAAGATATAGCTGAAGAAGATGAAAATGATGAAAACACCTCTGAAGATGAAAATGATGAAGACACTACTGAAGATGATGAAAATGATGAGAATATAATATCAAGTTTATTTGTATCATCAATTCTAAATACATACTGTAAAGAAATTGCATAAACGAGACACTTAAACATATACAAAATAATAACTAACCAACAATGTGTACAAACTTCTTTATTTTAATAAAATTAGATTATTAATCATAATCT